TCGCTATGAGTCGGGGCCGACTCGACGGCAACCAACAACAACAACAACATGTACATGTATATGTATATATATGTATGTGTGTATATGTGTATATAAGCATAAAAATGAAAAAGGAAACTAGTTTCCATCAAGTCCATTCTAACTCCTGGAAACTCCGTGTGTTACCAAGTAGAACTGTGCTCCTTCGGGTCTTCAAGGCTGGGACCTTGCAGACTCATCTTGCCAGGCCTTTCTTCCAAGGAGCCTCTGGGTGGATTTAAAGCACCAACTTGACTAGCAGCTGAGATCTTAACTGTCTGTGCCATCTTGGGACTCCTGTGTGTGTGCATGTGAATATGAGTCTCTGGGGGCAAATAGAGTGCACTCAACTACCAGCTGGAAGATTGGTAGTTCGAATCCCCCCAGAGGGGCCTTACAATGTAAAATGTATTCTTGATACATTCATGATAAAAACATTTAGAAGCATTACTCTGGGATAAGGTAAAATAGGCAAGATGGGAAAGGAACAACAAAGATTTGAACATGTTTATCTGGAAAAGTCTGTGGAGTATCTAAGATGAGATATCCAACTAGTAGTTAGATCAGAACAGCAGGCATAGGATAAAACTCTAAACTCATCTGTGTGGAAGACAAATTCTTTCAGGTTGTGTGCACACCAGTCTGCCCTTGATCTTTAGCTGTTTCTGTTTTTTCTCTGTTCTATTTACACCCCACTGAGTGGAGCTCTGGTAGCATAGTGCCTAAGGCACTTGACTGCTAACCAGAAGGCTGGCGATTCAAACTCACCAGCCACTCCTCGGAAGGAAGGTTGGGCAGTCTACTTCCATAGTGATGCTGCCATAAAAACCTAAGGAGGGGTCACTATGAATCAGATCTGACTCAACAGCAGTGAGGTTTTTTTTTTTTTTTTTTTTTTTTTAAGGGGCTGAAAAGGTTGGTTCCACTGCTGCCGTCGCTTAGCCAGGGGGCCTTTGTTGGGGCATTTCTGCCAAGGAGGTCCAGCACAGGGATCTCAGGTTCAAGGACACACTACACTCCAACTCCAGCTCTTCTCTCTTAATGGCAATCAGATCCCCATACCCTGCTTCTAGGTGGGCTCATTTTAAGCCCAGCAACATGACAAAACTAATTAATCCTCACATTAGAGTTCTACACATCTTATTTGCATGGTCCTA